ACGCAGAGCAGACACCATGTTCTTTCCGTTGTCGGTCAACATGGTTCCGATTTTCAGTTTGCGCGGAGACAGCCATCTGTCGATTTCTCTGTTCATTACACTCAGAAGTTCCTCCCCTGTGTGACTACGTTCGCCAAGGCATACCAGGTGCAGCACAGCGTGACACCGTTGCGCCCTGCACATGTGATATGCCGGTCGGGTAATGGGACTTGGCACGGGGGTGGCGGCTGAGGACACGGCGGAAGAAGAGGTGGTAGAGGCGGACATCTTTGCCGGACCAAGGACGTGCAAACGTGGAGGCAAAAGCGGCGTGACCTGTCCAAGTTGCTGGTGCGGCTGTGACGGCACCACGTTCACCCAGTGGGCCGTAAATGACATGTACTGTCCCTGACCGTAGTTACAGCTCCACATGTCGGCGCTGCCGTGCACTTTGGCAGAGACCGACATGCTCAAAGACTGGCCCACCATCTCTTCTACATGTGAATGCAGGGCTGGCACTGCCTTTTTGGCGAAGAAATGACGGCTTGGCACTCTCCACCGCGGCGCGGCACAAGCCATCATTTCTCGGAAAGGTGCTGAGTCCACCACTTGGAAAGGGAGGGACTGCAGCACCAGCAACTTGGACAGGAGGACGTTCAGCTTTTGCACCGCCGGGTGCGTGCTCGCAAACTGTTGTCTCTTGGAAACGGATTCCAGAAAGACTGCTGACGGAATCCGTGAAGAGGAGTAGAAGGAGAAGGAGCATCAGAACGAGCGGAAGATGCCAACGAGCGACAACTCCCCTCAGCAGAGGTGTTGGAGCCTTGACTGGCTGATAGAGGGCGATTGACGTTGGGTGACGGAGCAAGTAACGGAGCGGGTGATGGAGCGGGGGCTGGGGCAGGCAGAACCGCCGTATCTTTATCACGGTTTTCCCAGGCCACCAAATGGCGACGCTGCATATGCTGACGCAACGCTGTAGTCCCAACATGGGCCCCCTGGCCACGCTTGACTTTCTGGCCACATAGTCGACATACGGCTACGTTTACTTCCTCGGGCGGCTTGACAAAAAATTGCCACACCACCGAGTAGGAAACTTTGCCCCCGATACTCCTCACTGGCTGACTGCTGCTTCCTCCGTGCACACCGGCACCACTACTGGCCGTGGTGGTAGGCTGCAGTGGAGCTGGTGCTGTACTCCAGTGTCAGTGGAGGCCGTTTGCCTCCACTGACACTGCTGCGACCCTGCTGCCTCCTGGGCAACCCACCGACTGTTTTGCTCGCTGCCAAGCTGCCACCCTCTTCTCCTGATGATGCGGAAGCAATAGCCTGATGACGACGAGGCTGCCAAGTGCGATCAGCCTCATCATCATCAATTAGGGTCTCCGCCTCACTACTAGCCCCCTCGGCTGCGTGGGGGTCAGGAGACAGACCTGTCTCTAGACCGGCTACCGAGCCACTCTCCTCGCCACTACTTCTTCGCCTGGCTGCTGAAGAGGCGGATGTCTCCCCCCGTTCCTGACCGCCCTCTGTTAGCTCTTCCTCACTGTACAGTGGGGCTGAGCCCACAGCATGCGATACTTCGCTTGGTGAGGGAACACCAAAGGACAGGGGCAGGTAGAGGACGCGTGATTTCAGTGGGCTTGCTCCCGGGCCATGCCAACTAACGGTTGTGTCTGACGTACCCACCGACCGTTGGCTGTAGGTGTCAGAGGTGACCTGGGAAGAGGAAGACGACCGAGCCAACCAATCGATGATGGCAGGGTTGTCGGTGGAGACACGACCGCTGGATGACACCGGGAGCACTGGCCTCTGGCTGCGACTAGTGCTGCCTCGACCCCTTCCTCTGCTGCCACGTCTGCTCACTCCTAAAACATTGCCTCCTCTGCCACTCCTCTGCATGTTGTCTGACATACGCTTTAATTCAACGATTATTGTCCCTGAGTAACAATTCTGTGTCCCTGAGTAACAATTCTGTGTCCCTGAGTAACAATTCTGTGTCTGTCGCTGAGTAACAATTCTGTGTCCCTCAGTAACAATTCTGTGTCCCTCAGTAACAATTCTGTGTCCCTCAGTAACAATTCTGTGTCTGTCCCTCAGTAACAATTCTGTGTCTGTCCCTGAGTAACAATTCTGTGTCTGTCCCTGAGTAACAATTCTGTGTCTGTCCCTGAGTAACAATTCTGTGTCCCTCAGTAACAATTCTGTGTCTGTCCCTAACTAACGTTTCTGTGGCCCTAACTCTCTCTCCTGATTACAGCCAGGTCTGCCTCTGTTGAATGACTGGAGGCAAATGGAGAATTCTAAAATGGCCGCCATTTATAGCTCGACCATTACACAGTGCTGGCTGGCTGGCTGCTGATTGGCTAATGCGATCACATGTCATGAATGAATGCATTATGGGTCAGCGCGCCTTGTCTGCGCGCCTTCCCAGACATCCCCGCTCCGTCGCCGCACATGTCGCCGCCATTTTAGGAAAAATTTAGATTCGCGCATCCGAAGTCTGCTTATTTTCGGATTCGGCGCGAATCGAAATTTTCCTAATATTCGAAACTAATTCCACTTCGCCTAGTTCGATTCGCTCATCTCTAGTGGTGAACTCCTGTTTGTACAGTTTTTTTAATTGATTTTATATTTACATATACAGTACATTTTGATCGTGTGCACATGATAATCCTACCCTGAACCTAGTTTTGGTTTAGAAAACATGGAACTAAGCTCATCTATGAAAAAGTGTTAATTTGAGTAAATAGAGAATCGTACATTTTAGGAAAACTAAAATTGGGAAATTTGCAACTGCAGTTATAATATTGCATTGCTAAATTTGGAATTAAACACAGTTTATACCTTTATCAAACAGCAGAGACAAAATTTATTTTAATATAACTTTTGCCATACATTTTAAAAAAAACTTACTGTAAATTTTTCCAGGCCAGTAGCTCCAGCATTTCCAACAAATATTCCAGAGCTGGCTTCAAATGTCAATGGTTGTGCTGACCTTTGGAAAGGAATCCTAATATATTCTTCACAATCCATATACAGAACAATTTCATATCCAACAACAGTAACTGTAAAGCGATTCCATTTGTTTGTCATTACAGGTAACTTAAAGGATGCAGCTTCTTTGGAAATATGTGATCCTGGCTCTGTGTAATATATGATTATTCTCTGTGTACCATCGTCAACTGATGACAGCCTGAGACCCAAATAGATGATCTTTTGAAAGGCATCAGTTATAGCAAATAAAACACCTCCATGGTTGCTATTAGGCTTTAAAGTGGCAATAATGGCAAAGTCTTGAAAGAATGGCTGTGGAATAAATGTTCGTGTCAGACGGCCAATATTAGCATCTGGACCAAAGCTGTAAGCTGGAAATCCTTCATATCCAGTTATAAAAGACACAGAAGGAGGAAGAGGTACTCCAATTAATTCTAAAGGGTCAAGATGTCCTCTATTACCCCGTTCTGTAAAAACAGAAAACAAATCAAATTATTGTCAGATGTTTGGTAATGTGATGTCTTCATTTGAGCTGCTTAAAGACAAACTCATTAATGGCAAAGTAACTGAGTTACCTGACAGCCCACCTATACACCTAGATATACTCACTGAGCCATCCTCCCAGGCTGCCTACCTGCTACAGAAGTGCACACTGGGTAAGATTTAATGTTTAAAACCTGAAAATTTGCTGCTGAGGTCTGAGCACTCTCACATGGAGGAGGTTGCATGATTTCCTATGCCTGGAAACCTCACTCAATTACAGCAATGCAGTAAAGGCTCTGATGGAGCAGGCAGCTAGTGGTTGTGAGTGTACATTGGGGGGGGGGGGGTGGATGTGGCATGGGCTATCAGGAAACACTGTCATGTGTCCCTAACTGGGCAAAATGTCAAAATTAACCTCTACGCTGGGCAGGAGCCACTTTGCAATACTCTCTCAGTTAGGGCACTGAGCATGACACCCAAGACCGGTATACTTGGGATTTTTTTAAAGTGCTTCTGCAGCACATGTGGTGAAGAAGTTTATTTAAAAAGGTCATATTAAAACATCACTTCAAGTAATATCACTATTTTCTCACAGCCAAACATCCAACCTGAAACATTCAAACCTGATCTAGAAAAGAACAGATTGAATTTGAAAGTTAAAATGTGATTTGTAGCTGTAAGGTTATAAAGATTATGAGTTTTTGATTGTTACTGTTAAGCCCCAAGTACACGATGAGAATATCTGGCGAATGATCATTCTTTTTTTTTTTTTTTTTTTTTTTGCATGCTAGTCTCATATCGAAAGTGAAGAGGTTAACTAAAATTATGAAAATTCTTGTACAACAGAAAAAAAAAAAATTCGGAAGTGATGTAATGTATTTGTATTGTATTTTTGGACAAAAACTGTACTGATTAAACAAAAATCGTATGATCTGGTATCATACGAGAAAAATGTTAGTGTTTGTCCCTTCAAATAATTTTGGACGAAAGCTGTTTATGATCAGATTATCGTATGATCACTTTGAAAGCGGGATTTTTCGTACGATTTTCTGATCATGTGTACTAGGCTTTAGATGCAGTACACAAGGTTTATAGTATAAAAATTAACATGAATTTTTGGGATTTGGAGTTGGGAAGGTTTAGACTCTCTGTCAGTGTTAATTGTTGTCTGTATCTCCACCTGTATATTTTTTTAAGAAAAAAAAAGGTTGGTAATGAAATATCATTTGCTCGAAATTTTAACCACTAGCCTACAGGGCACTTATACCCCCCTCCTGCTCAGGCCAATTTCCAGCTTTCAGCGCTGTCACACTTTAAATGACAATTACGCGGTAATGCAACACTGTACCCATATGAAATTTTTATAATTTTTTTTTTGTGACAGAGCTTTATTTTGGTGGAATTTAATCACCTCTGGGTTTTTTTTTAAATTTTCTTAAACCAAAAACCAGTGAAAATTTTTAAAAAAAAAGTTTTAGTTTTTGTTATAAAATTTGTAAAGTGATTTTTTTCTCCTTCACTGATGTGTGCTAATGAGGCTGCAGTGATGGGCATTGACAGGCATCACTGATGGGCACTGAAAGGCGGCACTGATAGGCAGCACTGATAGGTGGCACTGACTGGCACTGATGGGTGACACTGAAAGGCAGCTCAGATGGGCACTGATATGTGGCATTGATGTGCACTGGTAGGCACTGATATGTGGCATTGATGTGGCACTGATGGGCACTGGCAGGTGGCATGGATGAGCACTGAGAGCTGGCACTGATGGACACTGACAGGTGGCACTGCTGGGGCTACACTGATCATCAGTGCCCATGTCCCCCCCAAGGAATGCCCATTACCGGCTCTCCTCTCCTCACGAGCTGTCAGCGTAACAGCTCGTGAGGAGAGAAATGGCATTTTGCTGTTTACATGCGATCAGCTGTGATTGGACACAGCTGATCACATGATCGAGCCAACATCTTTGGCTCTTTCCGTGGATCTGTGATCCGCTGTGTCCGAGGGACACAGTGCACCGCCGATCACCGCGCGCGCCAATCTCCCGGAGCCGTGCATGCGCAGTAAGAATGGGAGGACGTCATATGACATCCTCCCCGAACGAGAGAACCGCCTTGCGTCCGTCATTGTACTATATGGCAGGCGGGAGGTGGTTAAACACTTTTTTTTTCCTTTGGAAATGGCAGTAATGCTTCAGAACTTTCTGTACATCAGAGATAAGACCCTTTACACCAAGGTTTAGGGTGTAGGAAAATATTGGTTAAAGAAAAAAACGACCATCTGTTTCCCCAGGTTTTATACTGTTTATTATATCTGTAGCAATACAAGGTCTTTGTTGGTGAGAACAAGAATTTTAAAACACTAATGTACAGTTGCAAGAAAAATTATGTGAACCCCTTGGGATTACGTGGAGTTTTGCATGAATTGGGCATAAAATGTGCTCTGAACGTCATCTAAGTCACAACAATAGAAGACCACAGTCTGCTGAACATAATACTACACAAACAGATGTTGCCATGGTTTAATTGCACATAACATGTAAACATTCACAGTGCAGGGAGGAAAAGTATGTGAACCTTTGGACTTAATAACTGGTTGACCCTCCTTTGGCAGCAATAACCTCAACCAAACGTTTCCTGTAGTTGCAGATCAGACCCGCACAACGATCTGGAGTAATTTTGGACCACTCCTCTTCACAAAACTGTTTCAGTGTAGCAATATTCTTGGGATGTCTGGTGTGAATCGCTCTCTTAACCTCCTTGGCGGTATGATTCATTCTGATTTTTTTGTGCTGAAAGCGGTACCATTTTTTTGCATGGAAATATGTAGTTTTTTATTGTAGGCTGTAATTTTTAGGAATAACTCACTGAAATCTGTCCGAACAAGAGTCTATTAAACATTTCGGATATGATAAAATTTGAAACACAAAATCATAAATTATAATTTAATAAATAATCATAAAAATAATATAATAATAATAAATTTAATTCAATAATATAATCAAACCAAAAACACAGAAATTTGAAATACAGAGGCAAATTCGCACATCGCTGAGCAAAGTAGCAAAATCGTTTTCAGTGTCTGATGACGAATTTCCCCACAAATCATTATCACTCAATTCTGCAAGTGGTTCTGATTTACTATCGCTGTTCTAAAACCGCATTTGACGTAAAGGGACGCTTTTTGGACGCCATGGACTTTTCTAAGTTTCCAGGCAGAAAGAACAGTAAAAATGCAGGCAGGGCACAGGACAAAGCAGTAGGGACAAAATGTATGTGAAATGCATTGAAATAGCAATGACAGCAAAAATGACATTTTTTAAAAAATTCAAATTTCCCGCCGGAACGTCCAGACGTCACAGGGACCGGAACACAGGAGCCGGATGCCGGCATCGGCCGCAGGAGATGGCCGGGGACACTGGAGGGGACACATCGTGGGAGCGAAGGACAAGGTAAGTGCTGCAGGGACCCCCAGAACAGCGCTGCATGGTAAGCCCGAGTGTAGTTCGGGGTTACCGCTTTTGGTATAGAAATTTTACCCCGAGCTACACTCGGGAACACCGCTAAGGAGGTTAAGGTCATGCCACAGCATTTCAATCAGGTTGAGGTCAGGACTCTGACTGGGCCACTCCAGAAGGCATATTCTGTGCTGTTGCACCCATTGTTTTGTTGAATTACTTGTATGCTTTGGGTCATTGTCCTGTTGCATCACCCATCCTCTGTGGAGCTTCAGTTGGCGGACAGATGGACGTACGTTTTCCTGCAAAATGTCTTGATAAACTCTGGAATTCATTTTCCCATCAATGACAACAATCCGTCCAGGCTCTGAGGCAGCAAAGCAGCCCCAAACCATGATGCTCCCATGTTTTACAGTGGGGATGAGGTTTTGATGTTGGTGTGCTGTGCCTTTTTTTTCTCCACACATAGTGTTGTGTGTTCTTCCCAAACAACTCAATCTTGGTTTCATCTGTCCACAGTATATTTTGCCAGTAGTGCTGTGGAACATTCAGGTGCTCTTTTGCAAACTTCAAACGTGCTGCAATATTCTTTTTGGACAGCAATGGCTTCTTCCGTGGTGTCCTCCCATGTACTCCATTCTTGTTTAAGGTTTTCCTTATTGTAGATGTGTCAACAAAAATGTTAGCATGTGCCAGAGATTTCTGTAGGTCTTTAGCTGACACTCTGGGATTCTTCTTTACCTCATGCAGCATTCTGCGCTGTGCTCTTGCAGTCATTTTTACAGGACGACCATGCCTAGGGAGAGTAGCAACAGTGCTAAACTTTCTCCATTTGTAGACAGTCTGTCTTACTGTGGACACATGAACATCATGGCTTTTGGAGATACTTTTGTAACCCTTTCCAGCTTCATGCAAGTCAACAATTCTTGATCGTAGGTCTTTTGAGAGCTCTTTTCTGCGAGGCATGGTTCACTTTAGACAGTGCTTCTTGAAACCAGTAAACCCAAAACAGGTGTGTGTTTTTTAAGGGCAGGACAGCTGTCAGCAACACATCCAATATCATCACACTGATTGGAGTCAAGGTTGGCTCACTCCTGGCTCCAATTAGCTCTGGGAGAAGTCATTAAGCTAGGGCCTCACATACTTTTTCCTCCCTGCACTGTGAATGTTTACATGTTATGTGCAATTCAACCATGGCAACATCTAATGTTTGTGTAGTATTATGTTCAGCAGACTGTGTTCTTCTATTGTGACTTACATGACGTTAGAGCACATTTTATGCCCAATTCATGCAAAACTCCACGTAATCCCAAGGCGTTCACATACGTTTTCTTGCAACTGTATACTTACCTGAGCCTGATCTTAATCCAGTGATTTGTCTGTATGCAATGGCTCTCTCCCATCTCTCTGCTTACTGGCTCCTGCTCCTGTTAATTGAATCCTGTGAGGAGGGAATGGGCACTATGTGCATCAATAGGTGCACACAGCCTGGCTCATGATCAAGCCCACAGGTTTCCTATACAGGCGCACAATGAAGAGGAAGAGCCAAGCGTGCTGATGTGGACCCCAGAAGCTATTGCAAAGAGAAGGTAGGCGTAATCTACATAATGACTTTAAAAAGGTAAGGTCTAATGGTTCTAAAAATAATCAGAAAATGTAAAGGGATTTCCTTAGGATGCAAGGACTTTAGAACAATGTTATAAATTGTGAATTATGAAGCAGAGCAGAAAGAGTTGCCAATTCTGATATACAGGTGAAACTCAAAAAATTAGAATATCATGCAAAAGTTCATTTATTTCAGTAATGCAACTTAAAAGGTGAAACTAATATATGAGATAGACTCATTACATGCAAAGCAAGATAGTTCAAGCCGTGATTTGTCATAATTGTGATGATTATGGCTTACAGCTCATGAAAACCCCAAATCCACAATCTCAGAAAATTAGAATATTACATGCAATCAATAAAACAAGGATTGTACATAGAAAAAATGTCAGACCTCTGAAAAATATAAGCATGCATATGTACTCAGTATTTGGTTTGGGCCCCTTTTGCAGCAATTACGGTCTCAATGCAGCGTGGTATGGAAGCTATCAGCCTGTGGCACTGCTCAGGTGTTATGGAAGACCAGGATGCTTCAATAGCGGCATTCAGCTCTTCTGCATTGTTCGGTCTCATGTCTCTCATCTTTCTCTTGGCAATGCCCCATAGAGTCTCTATGGGGTTCAGGTCAGGCAAGTTTGCTGGCCAATCAAGCACAGTAATCCCACGGTCATTGAACCAGGTTTTGGTGCTTTTGGCAGTGTGGGCAGGTGCCAAGTCCTGCTGGAAAATGAAGTCAGCATCCCCATAAAGCTCGTCTGCGGAAGGAAGCATGAAATGCTCCAAAATCTCCTGGTAGACGGCTGCGTTGACCCTGGACTTAATGAAGCACAGTGGACCAACACCAGCAGATGACATGGCTCCCCAAATCAACACAGACTGTGGAAACTTCACACTGGACTTCAAGTATCTTGCAGTTTGTGCCTCTCCATTCTTCCTCCATACTCTGGGTCCTTGGTTTCCAAATGAGATGCAAAAGTTGCTGTCATCAGAAAAGAGGACTTTGGACAACTGAGCAAAAGACCAGGTCTGTTTTTCTTTAGCCCTGGTTCTGATGTTGTTTGTTGTTCAGGAGCGGCTTGACCAGAGGAATACGACATTTGAAGCCCATGTCCAGGATCTGTCTGTGTGTGGTGGCTCTTGATGCACTGACTCCAGCCTCAGTCCACTCCTTTTGAAAGTCCCCAACACTTTTGAATGGCCTTTTCCTGACAATCCTCTCCAGGCTGCGGTCATCCCTGCTGCTTGTGCACCTTTTTTCTTTCACACTTTTCCCTTCCACATAACTTTCTATTAAGGTGCTTTGATACAGCACTTTGGGAACATCCAACTTCTTTTGCAATTACCTTTTGAGGCTTTCCTTCCTTATGGAGGATGTCAAGGATGGTTTTCTGCACAACTGTCAGGTCAGCAGTCTTTCCCATGATTGTGATTCCTACTGAACCAGACTGAGAGACCATTTAAAGGCTCGAGAACCCTTTGCAGGTGTTATGGCTTAATTAGCTGATTAGAGTGGGACACTTTGAGCCTAGAATATTGCACCTTTTGACAATATTCTAATTTTCTGAGATTGTGGATTTGGGGTTTTCATGAGCTGTAAGCCATAATCATCACAATTATGACAAATCACAGCTTGAACTATCTTGCTTTGCATGTTATGAGTCTGTCTCATATATTAGTTTCATCTTTTAAGTTGCATTACTGAAATAAATGAACTTTTGCATGATATTCTAATTTTCTGAGTTTCACCTGTATGTTATGTTACCAGAAATGTTACCATCTCAGGGAATAGTTGTGAGAGTGGTTTCTACAAGGGAGAATACCTGTGTTCAGGTCCCCAGGGGGCACAGGATGCCACAATCAGGGTCTGATGCAAGAAGAAACTTGAATAGGGCTCTTGTAAGGAGAGGCAAGTATGAAGGCCTTAGAAGAGATTGAGTATGTCT